AGCATTGATTTATAATTAATATAGTCAGGCAGTAAAGAATATGATGCTGTCATTAAGTTAATGTGTCCTTTAAATGATGTTTGTATAACAAACTGTGCAATACTTTATAGAAAGTGATTTCTTTATTTCCAGGACAAATTATGGATATGATGCTTAAAGAGTCTACTGTATAAATGGAGATTTTTAGTAGTGGTAAAAAACCTTTGACTGGAAACTGTATCCTTGTCTGTATTCTGTCACTAACAAACTTCAAAATAGGAAATTCATTGAATTTATCTATAATCCCATCTGTGAATGGAGGAAATTGGGTTACATTTCCTGTAAGGAATTTTTGAAAACTTGGAGTGTATGAGTTTTTCAATAGTTTAGTGTTACCCAACAGTCAGTCTCACTTCTCCTATGTCTAAGTCATAGGATAGCTTTAACCCAATGTATCCTTGTGGTTTTTGTTTGTTTCTTATTAAATTTGCACTTTAGTTGTATGTGTATTCTCCAATGCATTGTGTAATTCATCGTTTTTAAATTAATTTCTTATGGAATCTCAGTTCGCAGATCTAAGCCTTTAAGTTTATATGAAGAAGTTAGACTGTTTTTACTTTTTTGGTAATTTTCTTATAAAACACAAATCCTGTAATAACTGTGTTAGTATATACTCATGAAAACCTGAAGTTAATTTTAAATGCACTTTTCAGGAATATTCTTTTCAAATATTGAGAGTGTACATTTTATAAGCATTTAAGCAAATCATATGAAAATAATTTATTTGGAAATCTTGTATTTAGTGGCTATGCAATGAATATTATCTTATTGAAATGTCTTCTTTACCTGTCTTTTTAATCTAGAAAGCAAAATATACAAAAACTAGACCATCAACTATATTTCTTTAATATAACTATTTGTATCTATATATTTGTATCCATATATCTATATCTATATTTTATACTAATATATAAACATAAAATGTGGACTAAAGTGAACATTTAAAATAAATATTTAAGGAGTAATTATTATATTTATCAAATAAATACATTTATTTTTTTCAACCACTTAAAATTTTTATATTTCTAGTAATTAATATGTTTAAGTACAGTTTATTATTTTTATTATTTTTCTTAGATATATTATGTTGTAGCAATTAAAAGATAGGATTCTAAATTTATATCATGTTAATACTTGCCTTAATGACTATTATAGATTCAAATTTAAGAAGTATGTCATTGGCTATTGGTTACTGAATTATGATGCTCATTTTTAAAAATCCATCCACCAACTTCAGATATTTGTCTTTGTGTTCTGGATTTTTAGTTTTTAAAACGGCTTATTACTTGCAATGGTCTGATCCTATCATTGACCATTTTAAATGTTTTTTGGAGTTTTTCTTAAGAGGTTATTTGTTTGCCATTTCTTACCTGGCTCATGTAGAGCTCATTAGGCAGAGAAGTGGTATTTATTTTTCTTGTTTTCCACTTTTGTTTGTACAATTATTATTTTATTCGATAGCATTTTATCAGTAATCTTCTGAAGCCAAATGCCTATTTTCATTAGAAATAGTTTAATCAAAACTAAGTATTATACATTCACCTAACTGGACACAATCACAGTACACTGATAATAAATGCATTCACTAACTCATTTCTTGTTGTTGTCCCTTCTCTTCCCATAGAATGCCTTATAAACATGACCTTAATTTACTTATTTGCATTCTTACTCTTAACAATGTCTATATCATTACATATACTATCTTTTAGTGAAGCTTCAGTTACTTTTTATATTTAAAGTTATATATAAAAATCAAGATTTTATTATTTTCTTCCTGGACCCAAATGGATATACACTTTATTTTGTAAGCCACTATTCTAAGCTGATTATCCTGTTTCCATTTAAAGGCTCGCTCTTCATTTAGGTATAGTACAGTTGATAATAGTTATATTAAATAAGTTACAACCAACCTGCCTTCCTGAGATTAGACTCATGTAACTTTCATTGAAATTTCAGATGACCTCACACTCTTTATTCATTCACCATCTTTCACTTTTCTCTCACAGAGGCCTAGTGTGCTTGGTTGCAATATTTTTCTTAATTACATTATGTTGTAGCAATGAAAAGATACGGCTCATTTTCTTTACCCCTTCCTCTAGCCATGTTTTCCCATTTCACTTTGAAGTGCCCTTTCACTGAGAGTTGGGGTTAGCTGCTATACCACTTGTCCATCAATTAAACTATGTTCATTGCTTTAGCCAATGGGATGTTAAAACATGTTACAGAAGCACTAGCTTGAAATGGGCTTGTGCATTGGGGTGTCTGAGGCAGGACAAGAGACAGTTCTTGCTGATCTGAATTGCCCCAGCAGCCCTACACAAAGACAGCCTAGATCAGCCAATGGTCATCTAACTCACAGACCTATGAGCAAGCTCAGCTAAGATTAACCTGAGCCCAGATGAGATCAGCCAACTTCCAGCCTCATGACTTCTAAATGAATAATAAATGGTTGTTATTTTAAGCTCCCGTATTTCCAGTGTTGTTTTTAATACAGCAATAGCTAACTTATATTAGCTAGTCTCTAGGTTTTCCTGGTTAAACTAGATTTCTAAAGGCATTTAAATTCAGAAGTGGAGGAGAGTACTCTATCCTTTATTCACTTGCACCCTGTGTTCCCTCCTCAACTCATTTGCATTCTGCCTTCTATGCTCTCTCCTTCTAAGTCTTTATGACCTTTCAGTAATGTTTGTTATTGATGATTTCTATATGCTTCTTATATTTTCTTTTAGTTTGATACATTTTCTTCCTTCTACTTTGTCTATGCTTTCATGTGTGTTCTTTTATGGTTCCTTTTAATTTTCTAGAGTTTTTCCTTTATTTATTTTTATCAGTTGATCATACAATCTAATATGTTATCTCTTCTATCCTTATAATTTTAATTCACTTGTAAAAACAGTATAGCCTTGGGAACATGTTCAATATTAGTAACCACAATAGATATAAATGGACTGAATTATCATGAAAGGATGGAGAAGTTCAGGTTCAACAACAAAAAATCTCTTAAATTTTTGACGAATTTCAAAAAATTGTTTTATAGGGCCTAATATCTTATTACAACTGCAGTAAAATCAAACATTAATGATTAAATATAAAAAAGGAGGCAATACATTTGGAAATACAAAAACACAGTTAAAAATGTTTTCTATGTAAAGAGGAAGGAAAGTCATGATAGAAATTATAAAATATCTTCAATTGGACAATAAAGAGAACACTATGAATTAAACCTTATTATAAAACCATTATAATAATGACTTTGGAATTGAATAGGCAAACAATAAAAACAAAATAGAAATCAGAAACAAACTCATACCCATATGGATACTGGATATATTATAGAAATATCATTGCATATGTATGGGGAAAAAATGGACCAGTCAATAAATGGTGCTGATAAAGCTGGTTTTCTATTATTAGAAAAAAATGTTGGACCTTGATCTCATATCGTGTGTACTAATACAGGGTAGATTTTAGGTCTTCATGTAAAAAGCAGAGTTTTTTTTGATATCCATTGAATATAATAAGAGGATATGTTTATGATATTTTAAATATGTTTAGTTTGACTCTTGTTGAGTTGTATCTTATTTAACAAAGTGTTAGTATGGAAACTACATAAAGAATCATCATAACTTAGTAAGAAAAAGATAGGCAACCTAAAGGGAAACTGAGTAGATGAAGTCAACAGACAATTAATAGAGAAGAAAACTAGAATTTTTAATAAACATGAACATATATTAGTTTTTACTACTTAGAGAAATCCACATGGTTGCACCATTACCTGTTTCACACTAATTATAACGTCTAAAATGAAATATTCTGTCTCTACCAAGTAGTACACAAACAAGAACATTTATACCCTTCTTTTGAGAATAGAAATTTACACACTTCTTAGAATTTCAATTTTAAAATATCTTGTTATTTTGAAGATGCACATATACTAAATTCCAGTAATCTTACTTATAGATTTAGTCTAAGGCAGTGTCAGCATACTAGAGCCCATGGAAAAAAAGCTGTCAGCTGCCTATATTTGTAAACAGAGTTTTATTGGAGCATGGCCATGCTTATTCATTTATGCAATCTATGGTTGCTTTCACATTGCAGTGGCAGAGTTGAATAGATGTGATACTAACCATATGGCCCACAAATTCTAAAATGTTTATTGACTAACCCTTAATGGAAAAAATTTGCTGACCTCTGGTCTACAGTAACTCTTCTTATACCTTTGTATTACAAGTGTTGAAGAAGAATATTTGTAGCAATATTGCTTGTGACAATGACAAATAAGTAATAAGAAAAATAAGGATTAGAAAAAAATGATGACTTTATTGTGAAGTGGTGTTAAAATATAATGCTATAAAGTAGTGAAAATGAATCAAAGGGCGTTAATTTCCTTAGGATCATAGCTTCTAGCAGCATCCATGTTACTGCAAAGGGCATGATTTTGTTCTCTTTTAAGCTTCCTACCATCCAATAGTGTACATGAACCAAATTTTCTTTGTCCAATCCATCATTGACAGGCATCTAAATTAATTCCATGTTTTTGCTATCATGAATAGTGCTGCAATGACCATATGCATGCATGTGTTATTTTGGTAAAATGATTCATTTTCTTTTGAGATACATAACGAGTAAGCTCATCCCTTCTAGAAGCAGTTGTCAATTACAGATGCAGTAAAGCAGTTTGACTGAGACCTTGTTCACCTGAAAGAGGCCAAAGTGAACTTGTTTTTTCTTTTCACAAGAATATATAGCTAATAGTGTACACAGGTGTACTTTATTTCATTTTATGTGGCAACATGTATTGATAAGCTAAAGGAGTAATATTTGTGATTAAAATTGATTTTCCCCCAATGTAGTTCTCTATGTTTAAATTTCTTAGAATATTATTTTTTGGAATATTATAGTGTCTCATTGTGTCTAAAACATTTACTATTTTGAAAGGGATTCAATTTTTTTTATTCCAGGAATACACAATTGATGTTTTCTTTCGACAAAAATGGAAAGATGAACGTTTAAAATTTAAAGGTCCGATGAACATCCTTCGACTCAACAATTTAATGGCTAGCAAAATCTGGACTCCAGATACCTTTTTTCACAATGGGAAAAAATCAGTAGCTCATAATATGACAATGCCAAATAAGTTGCTTCGAATCCAGGATGATGGGACTCTGCTGTATACAATGAGGTATGTTTTTAGGTTTGATGTGATGCATTTATATACTGAGAAATTCGTATGTTAAACAACCAGTCAATTTAGTTGTCAAGTATTAGCAAAAGTTGAATGTTTTCTAACATATTATTGAAGCATCCATAATATGTTTGCAAATGCCTTGATTAAAAAGAAAACTACATAAGATAGTATTTATGAGTTTGAGTCTCATCTTGGTTCTTTAAATGTTAAGAATTGCCTTTATTATTCAGAATTTATGTTTTTAGTTATTCTTCAGACTATATTTTTATTATGTACAGTTTTAATAATATGATTTAAATTTGGTTTTCATCAGCATACAATTTTAATTTCTTATCAGATATCCCATCAAAATTTTTATTATCTCAAAGTAAGACTTTATTTATGTATTTATATTTATTTATTGAGGTGAAGACTTGCTCTGTCGCCCAGACTGGAGTGCAGTGATGTGATCTTGACTCACTGCAACCTCTGCCTCCCTGGTTCAAGTGGCTCTCCTCTCTCAGCCTCCTGAGTAGCTGAGACTACAGACCCATGCCACCACACCGGACTAGATTTTGTGTTTTTAGTAAACATGGTGTTTTGCCATGTTGGCCAGGCTGGCCTGGAACTCCTGGCCTCAAGTGATCCACCCACCTCGGCCTCCCAAAGTGCTGGGATTACAGGCATGAGCTTCTGTACCCAGCCTAATTTAATATTTTATTTCTCCTTATGAAGTTACTACAGAGAAAAATAACTTTTAATTCAGAGATAAAGCTTTATTTATAAGGCTTACAAGTATTTTGGATACCATAAACATATACAGGATTAAACCATATGAAATTGTCATTTTGTAACTCAAAAAGTATCTTAAACATTAAGTTTATATGATTTAAACTTTAATGAAATTTTATGCCATAATAAATAAAATTTAACACCTATTACATCTTAAGTATGCTTATGATTTAATCTTGGGAAATAAGTTACTTGTATTATATAAGGAAAAGATCACAAATCTAGTAAAATTATGTGGAATCTAAAGATAAAATGTTTCATAAAAGATTTGAAACAGACATCTGACATCAGCGTTATATATAGACGGAAACATGTATTCCAGTTATTTGATGCATTGTCATTTTGTAAGATAAGTGCTAGATTTTAGTTATAAAAGTTATTTAAGAGGGACAACAATATAGTCCTATGCTATTTCTGATCTTTAAGGAAAAAATTTTTGAGGACTCATTACTGGATATTCATTGCCTACAATGGAAGTGCTAGCTAGTCTTTCTGCCTACCTCTCTCTCTGAATTTTGCAATATATTCTGATGCAGTGCCCTTGTTGGCTTTGTACTTTGATCATTTCTATGAGTTAAGGCAATGATGAAAACCTTAGGATTTAAACAAAATGCAGGTACAGGACATATAGAATTTTGGAAAATATTGTGTAAGTTCTATTTAAATATTCTCTTAGAATTTAAGCCATAATAAATTGTTGGTCACATTATTTGCTTTGCTCATTATAACAGATTCCTCTATAAATTTTATTTAGTATCTGCTATACCCACTTTGTCTTCATGTGATATGGAATAATTGGAAGTTTGCTTTATATCAAATTTTCTATGCCTACTGTTTGTTGTAATCATGTACATACAGAAAAAATATGTATTTAACATTCTTAATTTGTGTTCTACAATTTAGCCAACAATCTAATCTCAATAAGTTATTTCTAGGAAATACACCTGTATATGTATTTATATCTAGTTCTATATGTATAACTGTGAATATATATGCAGTATGTGATATTTATTCACAATTCACATATGTTGAAGGGAGCTCCTCTGAACTAATATTGAATTCTTTTATCAATTTTGCTATACGTTTGTTGATGAGATAATGGAGACATTAGCATTCTTTTAATGATAGAGTTATTTGTCCTTAAGATTTCAAGTGTTAATAGTGAACTTAAGGAGGAAAGAGCCCTTGAAAATGCCTATGTAATTTCTTCATGTCTTAAGAAACTAAAATGGCTAAGGTATATTTTTAATTATTATCTTCAGTTATACTCAGAATTTGTTTGTGTCAATATCTTCTGAGGGATCACCTAAACATGAAAGAACAAGAGTATTTACATATGAATGAGCCTAATAAAATGCTATGATTAAGGCTCTACCTCCATCAATTCTGTTGACTGTAGACATAAGTGATTTTTCTTGACTTAACCAATTTACTTAAACAAATAGTGGAATTTTGACTTTTAGGCTTACAGTTCAAGCTGAATGCCCAATGCACTTGGAGGATTTCCCAATGGATGCTCATTCGTGTCCTCTGAAATTTGGCAGCTGTAAGTACAGGAATGGAGGTACATGTTTTGGGTCCATAATATCAGGGAAAGTCAGCAGCACTCCTTAGTTGTCCAGGTTTTTTTTTCTCAAATTATGAGTTGATTAACAATTGTCCAATAAGATACAAAAGTAAAAGGCATGCAAATCGTCCTTAAGGAACATCTCTCAAATATCGCTATAATTTAGTCATGATGTTAAACAATTATCACTCGTTTCTCGTTTTTACTCCTAATAAAAAATATTATGTATTTTTATACATGATAAAATTAAACCATTCATAAAATGTATAAATGTATAAATTTAGACGTGTATAAAATCAAGACCTAACTTGAAGTTTAGGACTGTAATTTACCTCCTTTTCCAACTGCTAGAACCTTAAAAACTCAAAATAAATGTTATTTTTTTATCAACTAAGAATGAATTGGAAAGGATAGATTCTACAGTTTATTAAAGTGGCAATCAGCCTTTTGCAAATGACATGCACAGAAACTTTGTGCCACTGTCTTCTACTGTAACAATGGAAGAAGTTATTTTTTATTTCTTAAAGGAGATAATGTAGCTGTATTGCTACATTCTGGCACCTTCTATGTACATAGAACATTTTAGAAAAGGATCTGTACAGTTGGCTGTTCTTTAGATCATAGGGGTTATATCATGTATATCAAGCAGAAGCATTCATACTTCCAGAATAATTGAAAAGGGGGAAGGTTAAATCATCTTCCTAGGCCCACATGACATTCTGGGTAGATTCAGCATGAATTCATGAACACAGCTAAGCAGTCTCCCTCTTGTGAGGGTGTCCTCTTGCCTGACCTTTTTAGAAACTGTGCTCTTTCTGGAACCATCATCTTTGTCACTTCTGAACAGCTTTTGACTTTGTATTCTCTGTCAAATAGAAATGCCATGCTCTCACCTGATTAAAACTATGTATCACTGAATAGTGTGCCTTCTCCTTGCAAACTATATCAAGGCAAAGAAAAGGAAAGAATGACAGCTCATATGAATGTAAAACTCTCTAATTATTTTGATGATCATACTTATGTGGTATGAAAAAAGCAGTCTTGTTTGTTCTTACAAAAGGTGTCAGCTCTCAATTTTCTTTGAGAATCTCCCCTTTATTTAACTGCAAATCCTTCTTTCATTGTCATGGAAACCATAAGTTTAGTACCAGCATTTCTTCCAACAGTATTTAAGACAGTCAGTCATGTTATATAACGTAAACATGATGCTGAGAAAACCACAGCAGATGCAGCAGAGGAAAATTTATTTCCATTACATAAGTGGCATTATAGAAAAAATTGAAAGCCTTGATACCAAAGAAAAGATTAATTCAAGATGTAATCATGTTGTAAGATGGATTTTTTTTTTGTCATGAAGGCATCAAATATAAATGATGTGATGGATGTCTCCATTCTGAAAATGAAATGAGCACACCTGAAAATATTTCAAATGAAATTTAAAAATCTCTTATACTGCATCTACAGAGTGGTGGAATATCGCATTCTTGAGAATATAGTTTCTGTATCCAGAAGGATCTATGAGCAACACATAAAGTGTGTTGCCAGGCTTTTTATGTTTAAGTAATTATCACTAATTTTGTTTTCTTCACATTTATTTTATGACACACTGAATAAACAATTTTTATGTTATTTTATTGTATTTGCCTATAATAGGTGCTGGATGCATAAGTATTAATAGTATGGACATCAGTGTAGAGTAATGTACAAGCCGAGCCAAACCTAACATGTTTGCATAACGAAGTTTGGTTTGTTATGCAACACAGAAGCAGCTGTGACATTTTCTTCTATTCATTTATTCCTTGCTTATTTGAAAGCCCTCTTCCTCCCTACTCCTACCCCTCAAAACATTGGATTTCAGGAACTTTGTCATTGTCCTCAATTAAAGGAAGAATTTTTTTCTGTGTGCTTACAATTTTAAATTCAGTCTTGTTTTGTTTTATTCCTATTGACTCATACCTTTCAATTGTTCCTTGTTGTTTAATTGATTTTAAAATTTCTGAATGGAAGTCTAGGGATACTCCATTCATTAATCCCAAAGAAGCTGTAAATTGTCTTCAGACTAAAAATGAATAGCTAAAAATAATTTTGGTGTATGTTTCCTGGTTACCAAATGTTAAAAATCAGTTGGTATAATCTGTTTAATGCAACGTAGGAATACAAAATGGGTTAATTAACATAAACAAGATTATTTAATGGCAGCCTAATTTAGAAGTGGAATTTATGATGAATTTTGTAAAACTTTCTCTTCCTTTATACTTTATTGAGAAACATTATTATGACTTCTTGGCTTATATGTGTGTTAATGTCTTCAGGAGAGGCTCTAATATTCATTGCATAACTTTCTGCTGCATTATTTTCACCAGACACAAATTTCAAAACTATATTCCTGTCTAACTAATGAAGGGCAGTAATTGCTTTTTCAAAAGTCATGTGAAGAATCAGTCACATTCTTTAATAAATTCTTGAGTTCTTCTCCAGATTTCCTTCTTCCATAACAGTAAAGAACATAATTAAAATACTATGAGTTAATTTATTAATCTAGTGAGGATGGACTGAGACTTTTTCTTCTGTGTATCAGGCACTGTACTGGGTCCTGGAAGAATAGACATGAATCAGACAGAGTCCCTGTCTATCAGTATCTCATTAGTGCTTTAAAAATGTCATCTCTGTTACAGGGTTTCATTTTTACTTATTTATGTTTAAAAGAAACATTATAATTCAAGAGTGATTTATTCTACTTATAAAAAAACTTCATAATTTGTTGACAACTACAGAGTATTGTGAGGCCCTTCCAGTGTAAAGTAGACCATTTGATCTAACTTTTTCCTAAGTTCTGTGCCATTTAAAATTTTATTGAAGAGAGAGCCAGAATATGTATTCAAGGGAAAAACAAAGCAAGCCATTTGATCGACAAATCAGTTGCTAGTTATCCACATTCGTAATGTTGTTTAGTCTTCTCAGGGTAATCAATCATTAATAATTAATGAATTGAAATTACCTAAGAAAATTAAAGCATGGAATAAAATTCATTTATCTGCAATCATATGAAGATTTCTCTGATACTAAAAGTATATACATACATAAATATATACATATACATTTTTAGAATCCTATTTCAAAAATTGTTTCACATAATATAATTTAATTCTTAATGTAGGTAAGTATATATGTAGTGATAGTGGTGTTTCGCTGATATTAACATTTAGTAGAAACATTAAGAAAACTAGACAGCATTGCAGTATGTCATTAAAAGACACAAACTCATAATCGTTCACGCTATTGTTACTGATACTTGAGAGGAAATTGATCTGTGATGACAGACTTTAGATCAAGTTCAGAACCAGGGTCACCACAGTACGGTTCCATTAAAGCTAGGAAAGTTATAGATGACAGAGAATGAGATTTCCAGTGTCCTAGAGAGCTGGAGGCAGAACTATTGCCAGCAACAACTTGCCCTTTAATCAAATCACCCTTAATTGGTGATGTGACTGTGATGTTGAGTTTTGTTAGGGGTAACTATTTCTCTAAACATTCTCACGAGTAAAAGTGCATAGAAGTTCTTCAAAATGTCACTGATATAGCAATAATTGCCTGTTATTCAACTGTGGAGGGACTCTGCCTACCTGGAGAGGTTACCTGTTCCCCAATGGGACATAAAGGGGTAAGAAAATGCAGTGCCAGAGGAAGAAGTGAGACCAGGTATGTTGCCTACATGCCAGCTCTGAAGTCATCTCACTTCTGCTAAGTTCTGCATCTTTGGCCAATAAATCAGGAATTTATATCTGATCTGATTGCATTTTTCCTCTTTGTGCCAATCTGTAATTTAACTGGGATGCTATAAATGTGTAGGCTAGTGATATCTGTGTGCATTAATTCCTTTAAAAATAAGCATAATTTTAAAAGGATTTTCAATTTGATGCAACTATAGCCTTATTATTTATCTTATATGTTCTATAATAATTATTTTTTTCTTATGAAATGCATTGTATCATGATAGCTAAGCCATTTAACTCTTAACTAGGGTACATTTATGTCCAAAAATTAGTATAATTTTGACTTATGCTTTTTATCTTATGAGTGATTGATGTTTATCAATAAGTGGTTTTACTGGACTTTGGGCATTTATAACATGTTTACAACATTGTCTTCATATGTTACCTTGGGCCTAAAGGGAGATGTTATAATCATCTCAGGGCCCAGTGATTGTAATAGACTCTAAGAAGAAATTTGCTTTTCACCTTTCAAAGTGGATGCAATGAATATACTGTCATGGCCATGATCATCCTTTTTGGTCTGCCTTATGTCTCTCATATTGAAGTAAATTTAAATGAGACATTTTTTCCTAAAATGTGATGTTTAAGTATTAATATTAAAAGTATATAGTGACTGTATGAAATGCACAACTGTACATGTAGCACTAGATTGATGGCTCTTATTTTAATGCTTAAAATATTTTTTCTGATTTTTTATAGATGCATATACAACTTCAGAGGTCACTTATATTTGGACTTACAATGCATCTGATTCAGTACAGGTTGCTCCTGATGGCTCTAGGTTAAATCAGTATGACCTTCTGGGCCAATCAATTGGAAAAGAGACAATTAAATCCAGTACAGGTTAGTAAAATTGGTCCTAAGAAAACCTGGTGCCTAAGAGTATTAATAGGTTAAAGGACTTGGAACTGTGTCAGATGGCTTAAAATCATTTGCTCTTGAGGTCCAAGAACTAGTTGCATAGATTATGCTTGGAAGTTTTTTAGACATTCAGAGTCTTAGGCCCCACCCCTTATTAAATCAGAATCTACATTTTAACAAGATTCTAAGATTAATAGTTGCACTGAAGTTTTAGAAACATTAGCCTAAAATGCACCATGTATTCAAAACATACATGTTTTCTTAGAGTAGTAAATTTTAATTTTTACCTTTCGACAAGTGATAATTTCTTTTTTACTTTTTTTTTTTGAGATGGAGTCTTGCTCTGTTGCAAGTCTGGAGTGCAGTGGTTTGATCTCAGCTCACTGCAACCTCTGCCTCCTGGGTTCAAGTGATTCTCCTGCCTCAGTCTCCAGAGTAGCTGGGACAACAGGTGTGCGCCACCACACACAGCTAATTTTTGTATTTTTAGTAGAGACGGGTTTTTGCCATGTTGGCTAGGATGGTCTTGATCTCTTGACCTCGGGATCCACCCGCCTCAGCCTCACAAAGTGCTGGGTTTACAGGCGTGAGCTACCTTGTCCGGCCGACGAGTGATAATTTCTTTAGTTTTCTATTTTTACACTCCTGTTCTAGATAATTTAGGATCCTTCAACTTTTGATATTGATAGTTACTACAGGCCCATGTGGAAAGCTGATTCCCTCTGTGAGGGCCACCTTCATCTAAAAAAACCCAGCAGTGTGGACTAATGATCTTACATCTGGCAATAATTAAAACCCAGGGAGCAGAAAGAAAGGTAGATATGAGAATTAGATAGTAGTGACTGAAGCAAATTAGAACAGACATATAACAATGAGAAATTCAGAATTGGTGACAGGGTTAAAAGTGAGAAAATATGGGCCAGAAGATCAGTCTAGGAAATCTGGCCAGAGATCAACATTTTTGGAGCCAGAGAGCACTGAGTAAGAACAATCAAAACAGAGACTTGAGGTTTATACTAATGAGAATAAAGGGCCTAACCAAGTAAAATAAACCATTGGCAGAAAACATTTATAAATCCTGAATTACTTTGGTCAATAAGCATGACTTAGAGAGGAAAACAAATGCAAATTGAACATCTCTAATTTGAAAATCTAAAATCCAAAATAAAAAAAAGTACTTTTTGAATGCTGATATGATGCTCAAAGGAAATGTTCATTAGAGCGTATTAGATTTTATATATTTGGAATAGGGATGCTCAATTAGTAATAATGTAAATTTTCCAAAATCTGAAAAAACCAAACTCAAAAGCACTTCTAGTTCCACATATTTTAAATAAGAGGCATTTAATCTGTACCATATCATGGGATGTATACTGCAAGTTTCTTGACATTATCAAAGTTTTTCTTGAACCACTCATGCTAAGCTAAGGAGGCTTTTAAAAGTAATATAAATTTCATGACATATATGTGATACATTCTTTTTTTAAAAAATTAGTTTTTGTTCTACCTCTGACCATTTCTATTTCCAAAAAGTTCAATCTATTGGCTATTACTCATTGAGCTTCTTAAATTTTACTTCCAGGTGAATACACTGTAATGACAGCTCATTTCCACTTGAAAAGAAAAATTGGGTATTTTGTGATTCAGACATATCTGCCTTGCATCATGACTGTCATTCTCTCCCAAGTTTCATTCTGGCTTAACAGAGAATCTGTGCCTGCAAGAACTGTGTTTGGTGAGTGAATACACTCTTTGCAGTACAGCACATTATCTTTTATAGCATGCTTTCAAAAACAATATCTCTCTTGATCCTCAAACTAATTCTTTGTAGTATGTGGGGCAGGGAGCATTGTTTTTGTATTATAGTTGAGGAAATAGGCTCAGAGAGGTAACATAGTGTTGCACTGTTAATTAGGGATATAAACAGTATTCTGAAAACACACTCAGTCTTCTTTCTTGAAAATCATACTGCTCTTCAACATTTGTCCCTACTATATTTATATCAGGAGGATTTTCTTAGCGGTTTTAATTTACAGTCTGACTACCATATTTCTAGGCTTTCTATATTTTTCTGTTGTTTTTAGATGAAGAGGGATGATCTTACAATTTAAGTTAGAAACAGAAGGAGAAAGGGAGGGAGGGAAAGAGACCTCATTCACTTTTATTAGAGTATTTCATTTTCTTGAAGAAAACCAGGACAAGGAAGTTTTAAATTTAGAACATGGAATTCCATATATCTAGACTTTAAATGTTTGTTTTGAGATGACAAAAGATATTAATACTTTACATGAGAGAGAGAGAGGCTGGTGCAATGCCTCATATCTGCAGTCCTAGCATATTGAAGGAAGGGAGGATTGCTTGCATCCAGGAGTTGGAGACCAGTCTGGGCAACATAGCAAGACCCTGTCTCTCTAAAAAAAAAAAAAAAGCCAAGCTTGTTTGTACATCTAGAGTTTCAGGTATTTGGGAGGCTGAGGCAGGGGGATTGCTTGAACCTGAAAGATTGAGGCTACAGTAAGCCATGATCATGCCATTCCACTCCAGCCTGAGTGATAGAGCAAGACTGTGTCTCAAAATAAAACAAACAACAAAATGAAAAGGAGAGGTATGTTATTCATTCCACGAGTTTATTTAATAACAAAGCTTTCATTTTCTTAATTGAAACCATGCAGAAGAATTTGGCTACTACTTTTTGGATATGTGGGTATATGAATTAGGCTGAGCACATTTTGTAACAAAGTAGATTACCTTTGTGTGTTTGGTCCACTCATTCCTTTGGGAGTTTTATTGAGAACTTACTTTGTTAGGTACTGTACCAGGCCCGAGAGAGGCAAATATGAATAAAATGTAGTCACTGCATTCAATTACTTGGTTAGTAGATGGCACAGTATAACCAGGAAGGATAATGACATCACAAGGTAAAGGTATTGTAAAAGAGGAATAGACAAGTTATCATAAAAAACAGCAGCATGGATCCTTCGTAGAGTTGAGTAAGTGGCCGAGTTAACATTTGTGCTGAGACTTGAAAGATGAGTAGGAGTTTCCCAGATAGATGCGATGGGCAAGAATCCTAGCTCAAAGAATAGATTGTGTAGTGACATTAAGGTATGTTCGTTGAAAGGGAACTGTTTAAAAATCCTAAAATTGCAGAACTAAGAGGAATGACCAAAAAATTGACAGTGCTCTGAAAGGATAATTTCAATCTCTCTCTCTCTCTCTCTCTCTCTCTCTCTCTCTCTCTCTCTCTCTCTCTCTCTCTCTCTCACACACACACACACACACACACACACACGGGTGGGGGAGAGAGAGAGAGAGAGACAGACAGAGAGACAGAGAGAGAGAGAGAGACAGAGAGAAAGATAGAGAGAGAGAATGGTATGTTCATTGAAAGGGAGCTTGTTTCAGTGTCTGTGGAGATATAGATAGAAATTAGGTTGAGGCCTAGATGAAAAGGGCGTTATAGGTCATCATAATAAAATGTACTTTTATTTTAACAGGTTATAGCAAGTCACTGTGGTGTTTCAGACCATAGCATGTCTAAAGCTCTCAGAACAATGCCTAGCATTTCATACATGCTATGTAATTGTTAGCTGTTCTTCAAAACCACTTTGTTGAGGTTGATTGACATGTAAAAATCTATACATATTTAATGTGTACAACTCCTTGAGTTTGGGGTGTAGGATACATGTGTGAAACTATCACCACCATCAAAGCTATAGACATATTCATTACCTCCCAAAAGTTTCTGTCACCTCCTTTATTACTGTTGAGGTGTGTGGAGGGAGGGATGGTAAAGATACTTAACATAAGATCTACACTCATCGCAGATTTTCAGAAGACAATATATTGTTGTTAGCTATTGGCAGATGCTATAGTAGATCTCCAGAACTAACTTATATCACCTAACTATAGATGTTATTATTAATCTGATCATATTTGTATTTTAGAAAGACATGGCATCTTTGCAGAGAATTAAAAGATAGAAATTTAGAGAGGTAGGGAGAAAAGTTAGAAAGCTGCTAAAATAGTTCAGGTGAGAAATGATTAGGTTGTTTTGAAAGAAGACAGTAGCAAAAAAGAAAGAAAAGAATCAAAAGATGTTTATGAGAGAGAATCAATGGATGTGGTGAACATATATAACAAGTATATAAAAAGAATAATTTAGGATAACATTTAGGATTTTTCTTGCATTATTTAAATGGATAATGTTCCTATTAATAAAAGAAAAAAGGAATAGAAAGGGCAAATAGGAAAACTGAATGTAGTTTGAGTTATGTGTATTTTGATATTCCTTTTACTATCAATTTGATGTTTAGTATACCAATAGAAATAAGTATCTGGAACACAGATGAATATTAGAACATGTTGATAAATATGATAATTATTAGTGACTAGATAATAGAAGTTATAAATCTAGAATTTATCTCAAAGATAAATTAGGTGGGTGAATTTGATATCAGAGAACAGAATCTTTAAAAATCCTAAAATTGCAGAGTAAAAAGGAACCAATTGAAATGACCAGAAAACAAGGAAGGAAAACAGGGGATAATAGAGCTATAAAAGGAAAAGAGGATGCTTTCAACCATCACACACACACACACACACACACACACACACACGTGCATGTGCACACACACACATAAATACACATCCATACTGAATATATATCAAATGTACACTGATAAGTCTAAAATGCAGTGAGTGAATCTAACTAGTAGAAAGTTACTGATGGTAAAGAAATAAATAGGTAAAGTTGCTTTGGAGTGAAATAGGATTGAAATGGAAATAAGAAATGAGAAAGGAAAGGAGCTGAGCATAGAATAAATTTGGGAGAAGAGAAAGATTAAGATAGCTATAGAGACAGGCGAGTCATTGTTGTTATTATTAATACATAGCTATTAACATGAAAATAAGAACATGGGGAACTATCATATAATAAGCCACAAGATATGTGTGTTGCATCCTTCTTTACTTATTTTTTTCCAAGGAAGTAGATTATAATATCTCTTTTCTAAGGAGGAAAGATATGAGACTCTAAAATTTTAGGTATCTTGTCTAAGACCTTAAGGCCGACATTTACTCCAAGGCTTAGTTTCCTTCAACTACACTATGCTGCTGTCATGGCTCTCCTTTAAGGGGAAGGGGGTCAAGAAAGAGTAAGGAAATTGAACATTTCTGTAGAAGATGTAAGAAATTCTGATAAACAGGTACCTAAAGAAAATATTTGTAATACGGTTGGACTGACAAAAGAAAGGAAACCCAATTTTCCAACGTACAATAAGTGATGCAAAGCAGGCTTTGTTAGTACTTTCCTTTCTCCAACTTTTTGCTTGGCTGTGTAACAAACACACATTTTTTTTAATCTTGGAAAAATACTTTTTATTATTACATTATTGGACGAACACGTTGGCTTAAAGACTACGCCACTAACTATAAACATGATTCAAATGGTAAATAACCTCAAGATAGTATAGTGAGTTCAAATTGCAACCAAGTTGTGTAAGATTCATAATAAAACTGTTTTGCAATTAGATTTAAGGGGAAAATTTTAGAAAGAACTAAACAAACACAACATGTATTAGTAATAAAGGAATAAAAAGAGGAGAGAATGAAGAGGATAGTAAAAAGAGCAATTTTTAACAAATGTATACACCTATGAAAACTTTTTTTAAATTCAGGAATAAAATTTTAAATCAGGATATGTCTGCCAAATCAAATTTAGCTCAGGGTTATCATTTGTTTGTTATTATACTGTCATTCATGTTTTCTTTGTACTAATATGATGCATGCTTATGATCTATTTATTTAAGAGGTATATATCTTTATCTCATGCTATTATATACACACATATATAGGATATATATTATGTATATATATAATTTATACTATATAATATATATCCTATATATATATAATATCCTATATATATATAATATCCTATATAAATGAGATATATATATAGGCTATTCTATATATCTCCTGCATATTATATATGTGTGTGTATATATATATATGTGCATATATCCTTTGTATATATTTAAAGGGGATTTTATTAAGTAGTATTAACTCACATGAACAGGACATCCCACAATAGGCCATCTTTAAGCTGAGGAGCAAGGAAGTCAGTCTGAGTCCCAAAGCTGAAGAACTTAGAGTCTGATGTTGGGTGACAGGAAGCATCCGTCATGAGAGAAATATGTAGGCTGGGAAGCTAAGCCAGTCTAGTCTTTTCACGTTTTTCTACCTGCTTTATGTTCTGGCTAAGCTGTCAGCTGATTAGATGGCTTCACCCAGATTAAGGGTGGGTCTGCCTTTCCCAGCCCATTGAATGAAATGTTAATCTCCTTTTGCAATATCCTCACAGACACACCCAGGATCAATACTTTGCATCCTTCAGTCCAATCAAGTTGACACTCAGTATTTACCATTCCAAGTCCACCCCTTATCAACTTGATTCTATACACATCCAGTGAGATCATATACATAATCTTCAAATAAAGACAATAATAAGGTCATAATTACTCTTAAGATAATACAACTATCTTTCATACAATGGGAAATGCACCAATCCTTAAACCAAATGCTAATACATAAAGTTAACAATATGAGGTCAATAAATCTTGTGTCACATGGTAAAGGAAAAGGGGAACAAAATGAAGACATTTTCTTAGTACAGGTGTATACATGCACAAACATGTTTTTAACAAAAGAAAGAGGAACTATTCATGACAATTA